GGCTCCGGTGCCCGCCAGGCCCCTGAACAGAGCAGGCCACCCTCCTCACCGGGCCCGGATCCCTTCCTACGGGTCCCCGCACGCCCGACGGCCCCCTTCATACAGGCAGGAGGAGGGACGCCATCGCTCCCAGGAGCCCCGCCTTCAAGCCGGGGATACAGGCGCACCCGGTCGGCACACGGGGACGACGACGCCTGGCTCCGCCCCGAGGCTGCTCGCCGAGGCCTGGCCGGCGGCCCCGCACGCCCCCCGCGCGGCCCGCCCGCGCCCGCCGCCGGAAGCTGCAGCCTGCGGACCGGAAGCTGCGGTCTCGGGCCTGCCCCCGCCTCGCGCCCGCCCCGCCCCCGCCTCGCGCAACTAAGGGCTGCGGGGGCCCGCGCGGGGCCCGGGAGGGACCGCCGCGCCCTCGGGGAGCCCTCAGCGCCCTGGCCGGGCCGACGACCTGCTCCCGCCAGCTTAGCGGCAGGCCGCGGTCACGGGAGAGACACTTACGAGAGCTATGGTCGCCGTCGCCATCTTGCGCCCGTCGCGGCCGCTGAGCGCGCCACACACTCCTGCTCCCTCCGCGGTCTCGCGCGATCTGGGCAGGAGCGAAGGCGCCGGGAGAGAGACGGAACTCTCGCGATAAAAGGCCCTTTTGCCAGCGACGTGGAAGGAGAGAGGAACGCGCTTCCGGTGCGGGAACGGGCAGTTAACGCCCCGAGAGGGCCGGGCGGAAGGGGCGGGCCCAGGGGCGGGGCCATGAGCGGGCGGGGCGGTGCTGGGGGCGCGTCCGTCGGGGGCGCGCGTCGTGGTCCGGGCCTCGCTCTCCAGCGGCCCGGCCTCCGTGTCTCCCGCCAGCCCATCGCTTCGCCCCCCTGCCCGACCTGGCCGCTGCTCCGTTTCTGCCTCCTTCACGGGCAAACAGGCGGCGTCGCCGCGCTCCGCCCGGAGGCAGGCAGAGGACGGCCAGGCCCCGGGGCTGCAGGCGTCCCGCCGCCCGACGGCCGCGTTGAGAGGGGTGACGAAGCATCGCCGTATTTCAGCCCGATTTCGAGATGCGTCTTCCCTGCGTCGGAACGTCTCCGAGGCCCGATGCGCGTCCCAGAGGATGGTGTGTCCTCGTTTAGTGGGCAGCGTTTTCTCCTTCCTAGTGGTTCCCAAAACTGCCGCGCGTCCTGAACCCGATGGCATCGTGGATTGCCACCTACAGTCGGTAGCACTGCCGCCCAAGACACGGGCCTGTGAGCCAGTGCGCTGGGAAGGGTGCGCACCCGGGCTCCCCTGCGCCCCTGGACGGTTTTCCGAGACCGCCAGCGTGCATCCGCGGCGTCGAGCCGCCCTGTCCCAAGACCCTAACTCGGTGAAGACGGCGCACGGCGCAGGTCCTCAGGTGGTCGGCCCCCCTCCAGCCGGCCTGAGGCCGCGAGCTGCCCTCCCCAGCCAGGCAGGTCTGCTTAACCCGGGAGAGCTGAAAATGACATGTACAACGTCTCCAGTGAAACGTGGCGGAATGTTTTTCTCCTCTGCCTCCCCTCTAGATGGTAGAGAAAGGACTTCAGAAAGGGGAAACTCCATGAAGAGAAAGAGATGGAGTATCGTGGAGCGGGAGGAAGGTGGACAGTGGGAGCTGCTTTAGTGGACTGGAGGTCAGTGTCGGAGGGATAGTGCGTGAAAGTGCGGCTGGAAAAAGGAGGAGATGGCAGACCTCTATTCCGACCGGCAGTGCCTGGGAGGTCAGCTCCAGCCGAGAAGCTCTGAGGGCGAGAAGCTCTGAGGGCTGGCCGTAGGTGCAGGGTCCTGTTCTGAAAGTGGGGGAGTCAGTGAAATTCCTGCCCCTTTCCCCACCTCCACCTCTGGCTCTGAGTCTGGCCCCTAATGTGCCACCCACAATCCTTAGAGAGGAGAGCTCCTCTCTGCAGCAGCTCCGAGCTCAAAAGAAGAGACTGGCAGATGACAGGTGCTCAGGGCCATGGCCTGGCTAGATCCCTGACCTCAAGGTTGGTCAAGCAGTAAGCCCCACCACTAAAATCATCTCACTTTTACTTTTTTTTTTCCCCCGAGGAAGATTAGCCCTGAGCTAACATCTGCCAATTCTCTTTTTGCTGAGGAAGACTGGCCCTGAGCTAAAATCCGTGCTCATCTTCCTCTACTTTATATGTGGGATGCCTGCCACAGTGTGGCTTGCCACACAGTGCGATGTCCGCACCCGGGATCCAAACCGGTGAACCCTGGGCTGCTGAAGCGGAATGTGAACACTTAACCACTGCACCACCGGGCCAGCCCTGATCATCTCACTTTTAAATGCAAGTGGGCAGCCTAACATCCCCAGACACCTGAGGAAGAGGAAGAAACAAAAAAGGAAAAGGGCCTCAGAAGGAACAGAGACAGTAAAGCAAGCAGAAGAAGGAAAGAAAGCTAAAACCGTATCCTCAGAGATGTTAGAGATGTTGCCTCCAAAAATGAAAACAGAAGGCTATAAAGAAAGAACGTTCAGCAAATGAAAAATAGCACTTATAAATGAAAAATATGAGAGGAAAATGAACAGTTCAATAGAAGGGTTGAAAGACAGAGTTGAAATCTTCCAGAATGTATAACATCAAAACCAGACAGCTAGAAAACAGAAAATGTAGTCATAATCACACTGGTCAGAACTCTCCCGTGCTCAGAACTGGCCTGGCACTTCAGAGGCCTCTGTCATAGAGGGGGATGGATGAAGGGGTGGGTGGGCTGGGGCCCTGCCACCACCGCCAGGGAGAGGGGACACAAGCACCACCCTCTGGTGGCAGCTTCCCCTAGGAAATTCAACTTGATGTATAACATGGCATTCAGAGTGCTTGTGTGCTGGGCACTATTCTCATTGCTTTAAACTCATGAACTCATGCAGTCCTTGCAACAACCCCATGGAAGGGGTGCTGTTGTTATCCCCACTTTTACAGATGAGGGAGCAGAGGCACAGACCAATGTCACACAGCAGGAGGCAGCAGAATGCCTTTAACCACCGTATATTGCACCTCTCAAGAGATAAATCCAACATCTAAATAGTAAGTGTTCCAGGAAATAAGCAGAGGGAAGACATCAACAAACACAAAGAAGATTTCCTAGAACTGAAGAGGCTGGATCTCTGGACAGTAGATGAACGAGAAGGTCTACGTCAGGACACGTCGCCGGGAATTTCCAAGGCATGGTGCAAAGAGGAGAAGCAGAGAGAGAGAGATCACAGACAAAGGGCAGAATTTAGAAAGGCATGGTGCAAAGAGGAGAAGCAGAGAGAGAGAGATCACGGGTGCAAAGAGGAGAAGCAGAGAGAGAGATCACAGACAAAGGCCAGAATTTAGAAAGGCATGGTGCAAAGAGGAGAAGCAGAGAGAGAGATCACAGACAAGGGCCAGAATCTAGAAAGGCATGGTGCAAAGAGGAGAAGCAGAGAGAGAGAGATCACAGACAAAGGCCAGAATCTAGAAAGGCATGGTGCAAAGAGGAGAAGCAGAGAGAGAGATCACAGACAAAGGCCAGAATTTAGAAAGGCCTGGTGCAAAGAGAAGATGCAGAGAGAGAGAGATCACAGACAAAGGCCAGAATTTAGAAAGGCATGGTGCAAAGAGGAGAAGCAGAGAGAGAGAGATCACGGGTGCAAAGAGGAGAAGCAGAGAGAGAGAGAGATCACGGGTGCAAAGAGGAGAAGCAGAGAGAGAGATCACAGACAAAGGCCAGAATTTAGAAAGGCATGGGTGCAAAGAGGAGAAGCAGAGAGAGAGATCACAGACAAAGGCCAGAATTTAGAAAGGCATGGTGCAAAGAGAAGATGCAGAGAGAGAGAGATCACAGACAAAGGCCAGAATTTAGAAAGGCATGGTGCAAAGAGGAGAAGCAGAGAGAGAGAGATCACAGACAAAGGCCAGAATCTAGAAAGGCATGGTGCAAAGAGGAGATGCAGAGAGAGAGAGATCACAGACAAAGGCCAGAATTTAGAAAGGCATGGGTGCAAAGAGGAGATGCAGAGAGAGAGAGAGAAATCACAGACAAAGGCCAGAATTTAGAAAGGCATGGTGCAAAGAGATGCAGAGAGAGAGAGATCACAGACAAACGGCCAGAATTTAGAAAGGCATGGGAGTTCTTGTGACTAGAAGGTGACATGATACCCTCAAAATCCTGGGAAGAAATAATTTCCAACCTAAGAAAACTTTTGTACCTAGTTATGCTAACAAACAGACCTGAGAGTAGAGTAAGAACAAACAGGCAAAGACTCCATAACTCCCCATGCACCCTCTCTCAGGAAACTTGGAGGTTGCTCCTCCTTGAATAGAGGGCGAATGAGGAAGAGGAAAGTGTGGGGTCCAGAGACAAGAGAAAGGAGGTGCTCCAGGATGCCGCTGAAGGAGTAATTCACACTAACAGCTGGGCCACAGGCCCAAGAACAGCCTGGGGCAGACGGCTGGCATGGTGGGGGCTCCAGGAAAAGATTGAGCAGTCAATTGTACAACAAATCTCAAGTATTGAGAAGAAGTTCACACTCCTGCAAGAGAATCTAAGGATGAATTAAGGAGAAATGAATAGAAAACTAAGCAAATAAAAGAAAAGCAATTATTAACTCCAGGGAAAACAAAAAGTTGTGCAACAAAGCAAATATAATCCTAGGACACCTTGTTCTCTGCTGGAACCTGTGGTAATGAAGCTGTAATAATACCCATCACACTGGGATGATGCTGGGTCAAGGGACTGAGACCAGTGACTCCCCTTCTCCCAGAGGATGCCAGCAGGGGACACCTAATGTAGAAAAACCAGTAAAAAGCAGTAAAAGCAGGTTTGTTGTTTTATGAAACATGAATTTTAAAAGCTGAAGAAAGAGCAAAGAGAGTTCAGTTTGGAAAGGATCAGGGTTGGAGGCTGCATTTATTATTTATTATTGGCCTAAAAAAGTTCATTCCACTTTTAAAATAATATATATATGTATACACTTTTGAAAACATAAGTTAAAGTGAAAACCTCAATGTAGGCATAATTAAATGAAGCAATGGTAGTATGCATAATTTTGAGTTCAGTTTAATCATTGGTACAATCTGTTATGCATTTGACACTCAAACTGTTTAGGACGGTGCAGAATAAGACATCTTAGCATCACGATTTCCAACTAGACGTGTGAGTTATTTTAGATTTGTAATTTTAAGTTGGAACGTGTAGGAATTTGAATACTTTTGTAAAGAGTATTGGAATGTTTAAGATAACTGGAGATTCACTATATTTGTACATTTAATTTATTAGATATGTGTTGGTAAGTTTGTTTTGTTTTCGTTTTTGGTTAGAGTGGTGTGGTAGGTGGAATTATGACCCCCCTCTCCCCGCAAAGATGTCCATGCCCTAACCCCTGGATCCTGTGAATGTTACTCTATGTGGCAAAACGTATTCTGCAGATATGATTAAGGACCTTGAGATGGGGAGATTATCCTGGTGGCCCCAACCTAATCACATGAAGCTTTCCTGGCTGCAGAAAGCCAGACAGGTGGTTCATAAGAAAGACAACCCAATGTTGCTGGCTTTGAAGATGGACGATGGGGCCATGAGCCAAGGGTGCAGCAGCCTCTAGAAGTTGAGAACGGCCTTCAGTTTACAGCAGGAGAGAAAGTGGGGACCTCAGCCCTACCACTGCAAGGAAACGACTTCCTGCCCAGCACCCAGCACCCTGCCTCACACCTGCCGGCCAACAACCTGAAGGAGCAGGCCACGGGCTCTCCCCTAAAACCTCCAGAAAGGAATGCAGCCCTGCTGACACCTTGATTTGATCCTGGTACGACCTGTACCAGACTTCTGACCTACAGAACTATACGAAGTTTGTGTTGCTTTAGGCCGCTAAGTTTGTGGTAAATTCTTATAGCAGCAACAGAGAACTAACACAGTGGTGAGCTTTCCTGGTTTGACATTTGAAATGCTTAAAAAGAAACCTGAAGGCACTAAATTTATACATGCAATTTAAAGTGTTCAAGGGTGTTTAAATTTGAAAATGGAGGGGAGGTGATCCAAGAGAATTGAGGACGGGGTGGGGTGATGGGAGCTGAGATCCTCAGGACCCCGGGAGGTGGCTGCCATAGGGGGAGGTGACAAGGGCGGGAGGGGGACACACAGGAGGGGGTGAGTCTGAGAGGAGGCACAGTGAGGAGCAGGGTGGACACCTGACCCGACCTCTCCAGCCCGGGGAATGCAGGAGAGAACGCAGCTCTTTGGAGGGGGCGGTGGGGGCCAGAAGGATGTGTGCAGAGGGGACAGCAGGTCCCAGTCTTGGAGAAGCAGAGAGGGGCTCCAGGGAGGGTCTGCGCTGGATGGAGGGTGGGGTGCAAGAGCCACATGGAGTTGGGATCTTGAGCTTCTTGGTGTGTCTCTGCCGCCTGCTGCTTCCGCCAGGTCAGGGGCCTGCCCAGTGCCCAGTGCCGTGCCTGACACCTGCAGATGCCTCACCACTGGCATGAGGTGGGGGTTCTTGTGTGGGTCTGTGGTACCAACCGGGAATGGAGCATTTCCCCAGGCAGATGTCTGTCCTGGACTGACCACCGTGCCCAGCACGGTGGCTCCCTGCAGGGCAGCCTCCCGCATAGCGAGGGCTCAGTCACTGACCAGACAGCTTGATGGGTAGGGAGGGGGCATTCTTGCCCAGGAAATGGAGGATATGGAAAGGGATGCTGAGTTGTGGAAGCAGGCTGAGTGGGGGAATTCAGATCCTAAGGACATGTGGGGCATAACCACTCCCCCTACCCCCACCCCAGGGCTCCTCCAGAGCTGTGGGAGGCAGAGGTTCCTCACTAGCAGGTGGTGGGTCATCAGCCCCCAGGCATGCAGGCAGAAAGCAGCCCCTGGTCCCCCCCACCCCTGGCCAATGCTGAGCTTCCCTCCATGGGCCGGCAGGCTGGTCCCAGGGGCTGGGATGTGGTCAGAGCTGAGCTCCACGGTACTTGAGGAAGGTGCTCTCCAGGAAGGTGGCCAGCTTCGTCCGGTCGTCCTGCAGGGCAGGAGGGAGGCGTTGGGGGATGGAGGGGCGCGGCCCACCTTGTGTACCCTCCCGGCCCGGCACACCCAGCCTGCACACCTCGTGGACAAAGCCGTAGTGCACGAGCTCGGCGGCCAGGTCCTGGGCGCTGTCGGCTGTGACATGGGGACAAGGCATGAGGCCACCGCCCGTGCCTGCACCCACCCTGCCCCAGTTCCCCATCCAGCCTACTTGGGAGCAGATCATAAGTGAGCTGTCGGTGTAGCCGGTCCTCCAGCACCAGAAGCAGAGTGAGCTGGGGAGGCGGGAGGTCACGCTTAGGCTCCCGGAGTCCATCTCACCTCCATTACCTCTCCCACCCCTGCCCTACCCTGTGCCTCTGTGACCCCAGCCCCTGTCCCTGCTCACATGCCAGCGCGCCTTGTCCTCGCTTCTCTCCAGGTTACACTGCATCTGGATCACCTGGGATTAGGGGATGGGGAGGCAGGTCATCACAAAGGTTCGATGTAACTCAGCAACTCAGGAACTCAGCAGCAAGAGCAGATGCCACCTCAAAGGGGCCCAGAGGGACCACAAGGATTGGAAATGGGAAAAAGTCTCTAAGGAGAGGCTAGAAAGCACATCTCACTGCTATCAGCCTAGAGAGCTAAGCAAAACTTCCAGAAGGGTAGACATGGAGGCTGGGCACTGAAGGATAAATAGGAGTTTTCCCAGGTCGAGAGAACACCTGAACAAAGAGAGGGCAGTGGAAAGCAGGGGAGACATGCAGAGCAGAAGCACGGGATGCCAGCAGGACAAGGTTAGGGCGCCTGGTCAGGCTGGGGACCCCACTGTCTCTATGGGCAGTTGTGGCTGTTAGGACATGAATTCTGCCACACTGTGGAGGGGAGCCAGGAGGAAGGAGGCCAGGCTAGGGGCAAGTGCAGCATCCAGGTGGGGAACAGAGGTGGCCCAGATCTGGGGGGTGATCGTGGAGAAACACCCAAGGCCGAAGCCAGAGTCTCTGGAACCCAGTAGGTGTGGATGTGGAAAGGGAGAGAAAGGGGCGGAGGCTGACCAGGGGAGGCCCCTGGCCGGGAAGGAGCCTTGCAGGAGAAGAGGTTGGGGGAAACATAGTGCCTGGGAGCCTTGGAGGAGACAGCAGGACACAAATGTCAGGGAATCAGCAAGCCTAGCGGGTGGGATCAGAGAGGGCTAGGGGTAGGTGAGAGTCCCAGATGAAGGCTGCCTGGAGCACGGTGGGATCAGAGGGCCAGCGTGTATGGGGGCAAGCAGCAAGGGATGGGGGAAGGGTCTGCAGGGGGCAGGGGCCTCTGGGAAACTGGGGTATCCCAGGTTGTCCTACCACCTCCCAACTCTCAGAAAGGGGTCAGCCAGGACCTGGTCTCTGGCAACCTGGAGGAAAGCTGGGCTGGGGGGACTCGAAGCCCCTGAGAAAGGCACCCCTCTAGGCAGTGGACAGGCCTGAGATCTCACTCAGTGCAGTAGAAGTAGGGGCTCACCTTTCTGGTCTCTGAGTCAAAGGGTTCTGGCGTTGGGGTCTTAGCCTTCTGGGCCTCCTCAGGGGGTGGGGCCAGCACACGGGGCAGCCCCAGGGGCCGAGCAGCAGCAAAGTTCATCAGTGGGTAGATCCCATTCCTGGGGACACAGCAGGGGTGGCTGGGGGCTCAGGCCTGGCAGCTGCCCATTCCCCAACCTCACACCAGCTCTCACCTGACATCCTCCAGGAATTTGTCCAGCTCCAAGCAGGAGATCTCCGAGTACCTGGCACGGTGTGAGAAGCACATGAGAGATAGCGGGCCAGCCTGCCCTGCCGGTGGGGCAGGACCGGGTGGGGCTGGCCAGGTGGAGAAGGGAGGGCTCTGGGTAGCGGCTCACCGCCACTGCAGCGGGGGCCGGGGGTGCCGGGGGATCTCCGCCAGGACCGCCTGCAAGTCCATCGCCTTGGTCTTTTCCTCCACCACATTCTCAGGCATGAGGTCTGCAGGCCGCAGGAGCACTTAGGGTGGTGGACCCTGAGCCATAGATTCTGGAGGGTCCCCTTCCACATCCCAACCCCAGGCCCTCAGCCCCCCAGGGCCGGCCTGCCCCTCACACTGGTGCTGGATGAAGCAGTGAGCTGCCAGGAGTTTCAGCGAGTGCACCTCGAAGAGCACACGGTGGAACAGAAGGTTGTGGGCAGAGGGCCGGCGGGCGGGGTCCCGGGCCAGGCAGGAGAGGATGAACTCCTGGGGGAGTACAGAGGAGAAGCCGCAGTGGAGTCTGCTCTGGCCCCACAGTGTGAGGAGAGGAGGCCCCGGAAGTCCCCAGTCCCCAGGTGTCCAATCCCCTTGGGAGTCTTCATGCAGGAATGCACATAAGGAGACGCATCCCATTAGCAGCCAGGCCAAGCCCTGATCCTACAAACAGGACAGTCAGGCCCTGGGCCCAGGATTTCCCATGCTCTACTTCCACAACCATCACAAAAATCATGGGGAGTAGGCACTGGCACCCCCAATTCACAGATGAAGTCTGTACTGCCGACAGAGGACACCAGCCCCTGTCCTGAAGCCCCGGGGCTGGCAGAGTCCCCACAGATCAGCCCAGGCCCCTGGAGGTCAGTGCAGCCCAGTCTGAACCCACCTCCCCACAGCCTGACCCTCTTCTGGTTGCCTCAGCTCAGGCCCAGCTCCAGAGATGACCATGATGGGTCCCTGCCCCACCCCACATCCATGCCCTCCACTGCCCCTCATGTCTATCCTGGCTCCACCTCCCCACCAGCCCCATCCAGGCCCCATCACTTCCCTCCCTCGTGCCCCAGGGGCCATGTGGTTAAGCCAGGTAGTCACCAGACTCCAGCCAGAGAGGTTGTAATGCAGCCTCCATCCCATCCTCCCTTGGCTTGTCCCCCACTTACCGTGCCCCCACCCCCCCACAAGCTGGGGCCACATCTCTAGCCTGTCTCCTGGAGGCTTAAAGGCCAGGATGTGCAGCCAGTCAGACCCAGGTGCAAACACTGGCTTCACTACTTACTCAAGCCTTGAATGAAGTACTTAGCCTTCCCCAACCTCAGTTTCTTTATCTATAAAATGGGTATAACAACAGTGCCCACACAGGGAGTATCCTTGTCCTTAGAACATGCCCTGAGAGCCTTCAGGCCTCGAATTCAACTTGTGCTCTGGGTAAGGCCCTCCTTGCAGGTGGTCCCTTGTGCAGTGGGGCTGGCACACCCCTCAGCGGCACTGACCCACTGCACCTGCAGACCTGCCCAGAGCACCTCCTCAGCCCTGCATGGAGCACTGAGAGCCAGCCAGGAGGGGCAGCGCAAGCTGCTTACCCGCATGTTGGGGTCACTCAGTGAGTGCCTGGCCCGAGCAATGGCCTCCTCTGTGACCCGGGTGTCCCCGTTGGCCTGGATCTCCAGCACAGCCATCTGGCGGGCAGGGCCAGGTCACGCAAGGGAAGGGACAGCACAGGTGAGATGGAGGGGAGCTAGCTCGGAGGTGACCCAGGTGGCCACAGGGCTAGTACCTCCAGTGCACACATCCCAAAGGAAAAGATGTCCACAGCAGTGCCATCGGCAACCTCTGAAAGAGGGAGAGAAAGTGAGAAAGTCAGAGCAGGTAGGGCAGATCCCCAGCGCGGGGCACTGAGGATCCCTTCCCGACTCACCGCCGTACTCTGGCGGGAAGAAGTGCAGGTTCCGCAGTTCGTCCCGCTCGGCGCGGATGGGGCTTCGGAGGTCGTCCGGAAGCGCTATGGAAAGCGTCAGCGATGGGTGGACTGGACCTCCCCACGGCCCTCCACCCCCCCAGGGGCCCCACGCACCATTGGAGAAGATGCGGTGCCACACTGCGCCGGCCACCGCGGGAAGAAAGAGCGGGCGTCAACGCGATGGGGCGTTGGGGGCCCTCGGTCCTCGGTTCCCAGCAGGTCCCCCCTGCCCCGCCCCCCTGCCCCGCCCCGCCCCGCCAGCACCAGAGCCGATCTTGATGAGGCCGTTGTGCTGTATGAAGATGGTGTCACTGGTCAGGTTCCCGTGGATGATGGGGGGGCTGCAGGCGTGCAGAAAGCTGCGGGCGTGGGGGTGGGGGGAGAGCAGGCGGAGCCAGGTCAAGGGGCGCCTGGGAGGTGGGGGCGCGGCAGGGCGGCGCGCGGGCAGGCCCAGGCCCTCACCTGAGCGCGGACAGGATCTGCGTGCACCAGCGCTTCCAGGCCTGGCGGCGGACGGACTCCGTCGGGCCGGCGCGGGAGAGCCGGCTGGGCCTGCGGTGCCCACCCCGCACCCCCGCCCCGGCCCAACCCTGTTCCTGTTCCCGAAGCCAGCCGGCGCCCCCTCGCCATGGCCATCCCTGATGACCCCTGACCTCTTCCTGTCCCCTCCGCCGCCCCAGCCCACTCGCCATACCCGGGCGTTCATGGCTTTGTGGTTCTTCTTGGTCTTTTTGAGGAACTGTTTGAGGCTGCCCGACGACACGTACTCTGTGATGAAGATGACCTGCAGGGTGGGAGGGCTCGCGGCTCCGCCAACGGCTGCCCCGCCCGCTGCTGGCCTCACCCCGCCCCCGGTTTGCCGGTGGCTCACCCGCGCACGGGCCTCGGAGGCATCCAGCCAGTACTTATGCAGCTTGACAATGTTAGGGTGGTCCACCAGGGCCAGCTGCTCAAACATGGTCTGGATCTTCTCCTGGAAAGGGGTGGGGGGGCTGTCACGGGTGGTCACGGGGCGGGGCAAGGGGGGTGGGCAGTGAAGCTCACCTCGTGGGCCGCAAAGGCCTTCCTGTCGGCGAAGTGCAACTCATTCCACACCACCTCCACCCCCTCCTCCGTGTCCATGGCCAGGAAGGTGCTCTGGACCCCTGGCATGTTCCCCTGGTTCACCTGGTGGTGGGGGAGGGGGCTATGAGCGTTCTGGTATGTGTCAAGGGAGAGAGTGGGGGCTTGGTCTCTGCCCATACCCTTCCCGCGCCCCAAGCGTCCGATGCAGGCCCTGGCTCACTCTTGGGGAAAGCTGAGGGGTCCTGGAGAAGGGCTGGCCCCCAGGAGCCAAGGAGTGGTATCCAGGGGCTGGGCTGAGGGGATTTGGAGCAGTTTCAGGGGGTTGAAGATGGTCCCCAAGGGGCTAGCGGCTGGTCCCAGAGGCATAGGGAGGTGGTCCTGGGAGGATACTGGCCCTTAAGGAATCGGGGGTTCCTCACCCGGACGGGGCCCCAGGCCAAAAGGGTCCAAGAGCCGGCCAAGAAGGGATCCACCTGCGCGAGGCTGGGGAGAGGTTTCGGGCCTCCTGGCTTCTCCAGCACACCCACGGTCCCGCGTGGCCACTGTGGCCCCTCCGCCCGAGGTGGGCGCGACCCCCCCCCCCCCCCCCCCCCCCCCCCCCCCCCCCCCCCCCCCCCCCCCCCCCC